AAAAACAAACAAAAAAAAAAGGTGAATTTGGAGGTAGTGTGAAAGTTTTAGGGTTCAGATAGCCTAGATGCTCTGTGGTTTTGTTTCTTCCCATCCCTCAATTCTGCCTTCCAGATGATATCAGCTTTAAGTTAAGGTTGGCTCCTGGGAGTACATGTGCTTTGCCCACCTCTGTGGGAAAAAGCCTTATTTGTTTCTGCGAGAGCAAAGGAATTTTTCAGATGCCCCCAAAAAACTTTTGTATCTTGTAGGTTTTGAGTTATGTGGTCATCCATTAACTTGAAACTATGCTTTGTGAGTTGCATTATGGTTCAGTAAGCCTGAACATATGCCTGGCTACCAGAACTAGTGATGACTTGGTTTCCCCTAAAGTACATGTGCTACATATGGGTGGTATAGTTATCTAAACCAAAATGAGGATAATTATGAAGAGAAGAGGAACTATAAGTCAGGAGACCAGTATCTGCCTCATCTGCCCTCTGACCGCCTGCTAGGCCAAGCAGCTTTCCAGCCTACTTTCCTCAATCTTGACAAACATACTCATTCAAGTTGCTTCTTCATCTTTTTTCATTCTTTGACACAAGAAATCTCTCATGCCTGGACCTCCTGCTTACTGTCAAAGCTCCTATAAAAGCCTGAGTTGAACTCTACAGCCTGAGGGTTCTGGAGGCTTGATGATTATACTCAGTGAATTGTGAATTAGATTACAGTAAAAATTGAAGAGGCTTTCTTTTGCTTTTCAGTGCTACCATTATTACATCTAGTATGATTAGGAACTCCATAAACCTATACAGAATCGAAACCGTGCTGTTTTATTTACCTGTGTGTAAAGAAATGTTTGCATTTATCCTTAATCAGGTTAAAGTAAACCTGGCAAAAATCATAAAAGATATAGATTCATAAACTGTTAAATGTAGAAGAGACTTAACCTCACTTAATGTGTTTATATTATAGCCAAGGAAATAGGGGTTCAGACAGGGGAAGTGATTCCTCTAATTCATGGCAGAGGTGTGCTTTATTTCACTCAATGTTCTTTTTACTCAGACCCAATTTATATTATGTTTTACAACTTATAAGGTTGTTTTTCATATGCTGTCAGCTCTTGACTACTTGGAGTCAATTAACTCTGCTAAAAATAAAATACTACACTTTTAGAAAAATAAATCAGTGTGAATTAGTAAGTAATCCATAATGGAAAATATCTATTTCTTGAAATTACATAGTAACAGATACATTGCATCTGTGCAATGGGAATGCCCTCTCTCTAACCAGTCAATTTGAATGTTGGAAATCTAACTTCTGATTCAAGATGGCAAGTGAGCACACTTATTTCTTCTTAGATATCACTGAAGTAACCGTAAGGATAGAAAAAGGAATAAAGGCCTTGAGAATGGGAGTGGAGGACAATGTTAGTGCTTCAAAATACTTTCAAGTTCTAGAAGATAGAAGGTGAATGGAAAAACACCGAAGGAACCACAAATGAGACAATGCATAGATGAAGCCCCAGGTGGAGATGGGAAGATTCTTCACAGGATAGCTATCAAGAAAATCAATAGATAAGGAGAGGAGTAGGTAAGGAGAGCAAAAGTGGAAAGAAATCATGTTGGTTAACTGAGATAAACAGCTGAACAATTTGCCCCTGTTCCTACTTTGCTTCCTCCTCGTTTGTACAGCTGTAGAACTTGCCCCCAATGTTGAAATAAAAGTCTACATAAATTGAGTACCTATGCCTAGAGATGATGGTGCTCTTATATGGAATTTATGTCCTATATTGAGGGCCCCCCTAATTTT